TGGATAGCTTTCCAACTAATACATGCAGTAATGGAATGTCACGAAAGAGGGCAATATCACGGAGATATCAAAAGTGAGAATGTGCTACTAACCTCCTGGGATATGGTGTTTCTAACTGACTTTGCTCCCTTCAAACCCATTTATCTCCCTGGAAACAATCCGAGCCAGTTCTCCTTCTACTTTGATACGAGTAGAAGGAACGTCTGCTATGTGGCTCCCGAGAGGTTTTTGGGTGAAGGGACCCCAACACAGTTTCAAGAAGGTGACAAATTAACAAGTTCGATGGACATCTTCAGCCTGGGGTGCACTGTTGCCGAGCTTTTTTTGGAAGGTTCGGTCCTGTTTACATTGCCTCAGTTGTTTAAATACAAAAAAGGCGAATACACACCTACTTTGAGTGGGATTGTTGATAATGACTTGCGCAACATGATTCAAGAAATGATAGATTTGGATCCAAAAAAGAGAATTAGTGCACGAGATTGTCTGAAAAAGCATAAGGGAAAAGTTTTCCCTGAGTACTTCTATTCTTTCCTATATGACTACATGCTAGAACTGAGCACTCCATGTGATCACTCTGTGGGGAACTGGCGTTTTGAAGAATGTGACCGTCGAATAGAACGCATTTATAACGATATGGGTATGATCTGTGACAAATTGAGTGTTAACCTGGATCTAAACATAGTACATTCTTTCACAGAGGAGCCCTCTCAGAATGTAATTCCAATGACGCTTCGGCTTCCAGGGGTTGAACCTCATATTCCACAGTCTTCAAAAACGCCCTACGATTCTGCTTTAATCATACTGAATATCCTGCTTCATTCAATGAGAAACACAACACACTCTTCCTATAGAATCAAGTCTTGTGATCTGATTTTGATGATATCTGAGATGTTGTCTGATGAACAGAAATTAGATCGCTGCTTACCTTATTTGGTTCACTTGCTAAATGATCCTTCTATTGATGTGCAAGCTGCCGCATTGAAGTACATGACACAGTTGCTGTTGTTGGTGGACTCTTTGACCCCGGTCAATGTACTGATTTTCCCCGAATACATTCTTCCTAAACTATCTTCTTTTCTTTCCACTACTAAAGGCTCATACATGAGAATGATTTTTGCTACAATTTTACCCCATTTAGCAAAGACTGCCCTGAAGTTCTATGAAATGGCCATCCTATTGGGGAGTCACGTTGAAAAGTTTGAGCTCCTAAAAAATTTCGAAAATCTCACAATCCAACTGCTGATCGATCCTGATTCATCAGCCAAGATCTCTTTGCTTAAAAATATACTGCCTTTGGCCTCTGTTTTTGGTAAAGATAAAACGAATGACATCATACTTAGTCATATGATCACGTATCTTAACGATCCTGATGAAAACCTGAGGGTGGCTTTCATAGAGAGTATCTTAGGTCTTTCAATATTTGTTGGAATAACCAGTCTGGAAAATTATATTCTTCCGCTACTAGTTCAGACACTAACAGATAGTAGTGAAATTGTGGTTGTTAATGTTCTCCGTTCGTTTGCAGAGCTGAATAACTTGGGGCTAATCAAGAAAAGATATAAGTTTGACCTTATAAAGGTCTCATCGAAACTCTTATTACATCCAAATTCCTGGATTCGCTTGGGTACTTTGAGATTGTTGATTAGCGTGGTCAAAGATTTGTCCTTGACTGATTTCTACTGCTTGCTTTACCCTCTCGTACGACCTTTTTTTGAGTATGAAGTCACCAACTTTGACTGGGCCACGTTGTATCCCTGCATCATTAAACCTATCCCAAGGTCTATATACACTCTATCCATTACTTGGGCCCTAAAAGCTGAAAAGACTCTCTTTTGGCAGCAAGTGAAATTGGTCAAACCTGATCCTTTTGGAAGTCGAAATAGCACATTCTTGCTAAACAGAAATTCGAAGATTGGCGAATCTGGAGTTGTCTCCAACAGTCAGATACCGACTTCCCCCGAAGATTTCGGCTGGTTAGGGAAGCTCAAGGCATCTGGGTTTGATGAGAAGGACTTATGGAAGATTGCCACTCTGCGAGATTACATTTTCCGTGTGGCCAGATCAAAATCCAGTATCCCAAGTCAAGAAAACAACGAAGTCACCATGCAGCAGATGGGAATTTATCCACGTATTGTATTTTTTGAAAAGGGGTCCATGTATGAAACTGAAGGGTTTGTAAGTGGATCCTCAATGATGGCAAACTATCGAATTTTTGACAATTCGGAGTATTCTCCAGAAAGCTTGACGAAACGAAAGGCAGTAGGTGGAGTTAATTCTAATCATACTTATAGCGGTGCAAATCCTTACATTCTAAAATTCTTGGAATGTATAAAGTTCAGGCACGTTCTGGATGATTCTGAAGAGTTTGGACCCCATGTACCATCGGTGACTGCAGAGGAAGGCGACTGGAAGTTTGAAGGAATACTTGTTAGTCATCTGACGGAGCATACGGGAAGCATTACTTCGTTGGCGCTTTCACCGGATCAACAGTATTTTCTTACAGGTGATAGCAAAGGTATAATTAGACTATGGGATGTTCTTCAGTTAGAGAGAAATGGATATGCAACCTCTCACATCACTGTCTCCATGAGTTCTTCGGTGAAGGATATAAAGTTCATAGAAAACCGAAATAGTTTCTGTGCAGTCACTGCAGATGGAGAAATCAAAATATTCAGAGTTGAGATCAATGGCACATCAAGCTCAGTGAGGTCGAACGGTAGCCCTCATAGTTATGAGTCGATGAGTTTACTGAGAGAACATAGCCTCAAGGGAGATCATGTTAGTGACATCAAATTTATTGGTCCAAACTTAGCAGTTAGTACTTTGTCTTGCAGACTCATACTCTTTGACCTGAGAGATATGCAAATTGCTGGAGAGATTCAAAATCCAGTCTCACATGGATTCATTACATCTTTTGATTTAGATTCTTCTCAGAGTTGGCTATTGATGGGTACATCCAAAGGTATTTTGGATTTTTATGACCTAAGATTTGAACTTTTGGTTAAGTCATGGAAGCTCAAATCAACCAGCTTTCCCATAAAGCGCATCACTGTTCCTCCAGCTGGGTTCACTTGTAATAGAAAAACAGAACGATTTGCCTTGATAAACGGAGGGACTAACGATTCGGTTACTATTGTTTTTGATGTTTCTAAGGGACAATGTTCAGAACTTTATTTTACTGAGACTGTGAATTTAAACACTGCCATCGACAACTATGAGGTACTGGAACTTGATAATGGTGAGGAACGAACCCGAACTTCTGTGCTGGCTACAGATGTTGAGGACCGCTCAATAACCACCTTGACAATGCTAGGCTCAAACCAATTTCTGACAGCAACTTTTGATAAGAGAGTCATTCTTTGGGATACTGGCAACAAAGCAAACTCTTCTGCCCTCATCTCCAAATTAGATGATTCCACTTCCAGTTTTTCATCTGTACAGGTCAGACCTCATCTTATGGCTATACACGAAAAAATAGTGGACAAAGATTCACAGAACACTGGAGGACCAAAACGTAATATGGCAGGTGCTAATTCCTCTACATTTGATCTGCATTCAGACATCATCAATGGAATCGCTGTTATTCAGAAGCCTTTCAAGATGATTATACTAGTAGACAGAGCTGGAGTAATAAATATTTATAAGTAGTGCTAGTAATGCAGGTTTGGACTTTTTGTTGCACTTTGCACCTTACAACATACGCATGTTGTAATTGTGCATATATGCCATAACATCCAGACACAAAACCCAACAACTCTAATACGTTCATGTTCATCTTGACCTCCTCTTTGTCCATATGATATCTTCTCAAAAGCCGATTAGCAACAAGAAAGCCGGTGTTGAGGTCGCTGTTAAGAAAGAATATTCAGTTTATTCTAAAGCAAACTTTTACCTCAATTCAAGATATCAAGTCCAACAAGTTTTGGGTAAAGGTTCTTACGGCGTTGTATGTTCAGTTATAGATCTGAAGTCCGAGAACCCAGTTCCATTAGCAGTCAAGAAAGTCAGCAATATCTTCACGAGAGAAGTTCTGCTTCGTAGAGCCATCCGAGAGTTGAAGTTGATGAAGTTTTTCAGAGGCCATCGAAATATAATCAATCTGGTTGATCTTGACATTGTATACATCAAGCCCTATGACGGCCTGTACTGTTTCCAAGAGTTGGTGGATTATGATCTGGCTCGTGTAATTCATTCTAATGTGCAGTTCAGCGAGTTTCATATCCAAAGCTTTCTTTATCAGATACTCTGCGGAGTCAAGTACATCCACTCGGCTGATGTGATTCATAGAGATTTGAAACCTGGAAACATCCTGGTGACTGTATTAGGGAACTTGAAGATCTGCGATTTTGGTCTTGCGAGAGGTATAAATCATCAATTTATGCAAGGATCATCGAGGCCCAAGGATAACGCCATCACAAATTACGTGGCTACTAGGTGGTATCGTGCGCCCGAATTGATATTCTCCAGAAAAGAGTACGGAAAAGCTGTAGATATGTGGGCTGTAGGGTGCATTTTTGGAGAGTTATACGGTAGAAAACCTCTTTTCATTGGCGACTCGCAGATGAGCCAAATTGCGGAGATTGTCAAGGTATTAGGTAGTCCTTCCAGAGAGGTCATCATGGCATACGGATCACATCTGGCCTGGGATTATTTTCAACCTCCCAAGCCGCAATACAGGCCACTAAAGTGGTCTCACGTTTATCCATATGCCAGTTCCTCAGCACTAGATCTTCTCTCCTCACTTGTTTGCTGGGAAGCTAAGCGTAGATTTGATGTAGAAGCTGCCATATCTCACGAATTCTTAAGTGCAGTCAGAAATAAAAGTCAAGAACCAAGATGTAAATCTGTTTTCGATTTTAGATGGGAGAAGGAGAACACAAGTTTAGAAGATCTCAAGATCTTGCTGCACGAAGAGGTTACTCAATTCAAGAATGAAAGGGAAAATTATATCCAACCTAAGTAGATCCTATTTAATTTCTTTAAAATCCATCTGAATTACCGGTCTGATGGTCTAGAGGTATGATTCTTTCTTAGGGAGGAAGAGGTCCCGGGTTCGATTCCCGGTCAGACCCAAATTTTTTTGTTTTATTTTGTTATCTTACATCACTCTCACCCCCTAGAAAGAGGGGGTGAATGTAACAAAATATCTCACGACAATACTTCTGTTGTACTATGTTACCTTTTCGGGAAATTTCTGCCTATGTCCAGTTGGAGGGGCGGGGTGGAAGAAATGTCAACTTCGTTTTTTCCAATACCAGATACCTGATTTCCTATTCTTTTACCATCCAAAATAATATTATGTCAGACCCCAAACCATTGCCCTTTGTGTACCAGTTTCTATCTGGGGCCATTGCTGGAGTCAGTGAGATTCTAGTGATGTATCCTCTAGATGTGGTGAAGACCCGTATCCAATTACAAGTAGGCAGTGGTGCAAACGCTGAATACACTGGAATTGTTGACTGCGTCACCAAGATCGTCAAGAATGAGGGGTTCTCACGTCTTTATAGGGGTATCTCTGCTCCAATTCTTATGGAGGCACCTAAGAGAGCTACAAAGTTTGCCGCCAATGACGAATGGGGAAAGTTCTACAGAAATGCCTTTGGCGTTCAAAGCATGAACCAGTCGTTGGCTGTATTGACCGGTGCTACCGCTGGTGCCACTGAATCGTTTGTTGTTGTGCCATTTGAGCTTGTGAAAATTAGATTGCAAGACAAATCATCCAAATATGCCGGAATGGGAGATGTGGTTAAGCAGATCGTCAAGAAGGAGGGAGTGTTGTCCTTGTACAATGGTTTGGAGGCTACTTTGTGGCGTCATATCTGGTGGAATGCCGGATACTTTGGTGTGATTTTCCAAGTTAGAAGTCTGTTGCCCAAGACTGAAAGCAGCACCCAAAAAACTGCCAACGATTTGTTGTCTGGTGCCATTGGTGGTACTGTTGGTACTATTCTGAATACTCCATTTGACGTCGTCAAATCTCGTATCCAAAACACTGTCAAGGTTCCTGGTGTAGTTCCCAAGTATAACTGGACTTTACCATCGTTGTTGCTGGTGACCAAAGAGGAAGGCTTCTCCGCTCTTTATAAAGGATTCTTACCTAAAGTGTTGCGTCTGGGACCAGGAGGAGGTATTTTACTGGTGGTATTTACCACTTGCATGGACTTCTTCCGAACCTTACAGTAGAGAAATAGTTAGACTTGATTATCTATATTTATTGCAGTGTTTATACAAGTTTTTCTTTCGTCTAGTTTTTCAGAATATCGACTACAGCCTTAGAAATAGCATCTCCCACTTCAGTGGTAGAGCTGGTACCTCCCAGATCTCCAGTCATGACTCCGGAGTCCAACACTTGACCGACGGCTTTCTCTAAAGCATCAGCTTCTTCTGTCAGATTTAGGGACAGACGAAGCATCATAGCTGCAGACAGAATTGTAGCCACAGGGTTAACCTTACCTTTGTCCAAGTCTGGAGCCGAACCATGGCAAGGCTCATATAGTCCAAAGGCTTCGTTAGAATCTGGTAGAGAAGCTAGAGAAGCCGACGGCAACAGTCCCAAAGAACCTGGAATCATGGATGCCTCATCGGAAATGATATCTCCGAACATGTTATTCGTTAAAACAATACCATTAAGCTTGGAAGGAGATTTCACTAAGATCATGGCAGCAGAGTCGATCAATTGATGATTCAAAGTCAATTGAGGGAACTCCTTCTCCAAAGTTTCAGTAACGGTTTTTCTCCACAACCGGGAGGAGGCCAGGACATTTGCCTTGTCCAAAGACCATATTGGCAAAGGAGGATTGCTTTGCAGAGCCAAAAATGCACCCATACGGGTAATACGTTGCACTTCAGGGACAGAGTATTTCTCAGTATCCCAGGCAACCCCTGAACCATCATCTTCAGTTCTTTCTCCAAAGTAGATACCACCTACGAGCTCACGAACAACAGTGAAGTTGGTTCCACGGACGATATCTTCTTTCAGTGGGGAGAGTTTTAGAAGAGAGTCACTGGCAAAGTTACAAGGACGCAAGTTGGCATACAGGTTGAGTTCCTTTCTAATTTTAAGTAGACCTTGTTCTGGTCTGACATCACCTGTGCCCCATTTAGGGCCACCAACAGCCCCCAAAAGCACAGCATGAGCGCTTCTAGCAGCCTCCAAGGTTTCATCCGGCAGTGGAGAACCGGTGGCATCAATAGCAGCTCCTCCGATTAAATGAGTTTGGAACTCAAATTCAGCATTTGAAGAAACGCTGCTAATGGCCTTCAGGACTTTGACAGCTTCTTCGACGACTTCAGCACCAACGTGGTCACCTGGAAGAAGAACGATCTTCTTCGGAATCACAGACTTGGGTTTTTTGGTAATTGGTTCGGACATCAGGGGTGATATTATGTTGGTGAAAAGTACCAGAGCGTACCGAATGATTCATCACATCGTCGCGACATAGCGGAGCGGATGTTAGATGGAGAGTAAAAACTACGAATCATCTTGTATTTGAACTTTTGGGCAAGGAGAGACTATTAGAAAGCAAAATGGCCTGAAGAACTATACAAGTGGCAGAGTTAAACCACAATCACAGTAAGAATACAAAAAAAATGCTTTAATATCTAGTTCTGCTCCTCGATATACTTATCAATGTCGACATACTCGAGTTCAGCCCTCCCGGAATTAGAGACCTTTGACTTAGACTCTTCAGCAACTAATTTTCTAAGCTTGGTTTCAGGACCCCATCCGCTTTCAGGGGGACTCAACTGGAATGGGTTCAAAAACTTGTTAACAACTTTGAAATTCTCCTCTAAAGAGAAAATCTCGTGAATAATATCCTCCATACAAACAATACCGTATTCTCCCAGCTTATCCTCGATTACATTGTTATCGTTTAACTCAACAGATCGTGGGCCATTTTCTCCTTCAACGGTGATCTTAGCTCTTTTCTGCACCAGAGATCGAACTGTGTATAAAGATGGTTCACCGATAACTACATGGGCACGGATAACCTTCAATAATGGAACAACGGACAATGTCTCCCGAACAAACACTCCAGTGTTAATTTCCGTTAATCTTAAAAGTTTTAAAATTAGGTCCACTTGTTGCGGTAAGTGTGCCCTTTTGGGACCTTGAACTCGCACTACAAACACCAGTTTGCCTTGATCTTGCTCTTGCTGTGTCTTATCAGAAGAAATGGTCTTCTGTTTCAATTCTTTCTCCACCTTAAGCACTCTGTCAATTCTGTACTGTTCTCTTTCAGAGGCTAAATGCCTAAGTGCTAGATATTCTGGGGGAACAAAGGTGTTCTGCTTCTTTCTTTTTTGAATTTGTCTTTCTTCTTCTGCTTGGCGAAGAGATTCAGCCTTTTCCATACGAGCTACCTCATCGTTTTTTCTCTTTTTCAAGAGCACTTCTGTCTCTGTTTGCGCTGAAGACATTGATTGATGAAGAGAAATAATTTTTTCTTTTTCTTTAAAAAAATTTAAAAAGAAAATCTCATCAGGCGCGCGATGAGTAGGAACAATCCCTGGGAGGGGCGGCCATTTGAGCACCTTAGCAAAGCTGAGCGAGGGACAAAAAACCCCTTCAAACTTAGATTGCAACTATCTTGCTCTAGCTGAGTAATACAAATCAAAAAATAGGTTTAACTACTTGTTACTTGTACCCTGTTAACAAATTATATACATCACTCCTAATAATAGCACCGATTCTGAAAAGTAACCATTACTTTATGCTCTAGTGTCCAGACCATTCAATGCTGTTCAAATCAATACCTTCTTGTACCATCTCCCATAGCGGAGATAACTCTCGCAAGAATTGTACTCTTTGGTTAATGGCATCAATAACATAATCTATCTCCTGTTCTGTGGTGAATCTTCCGATTCCAAATCGAATAGACGAATGTGCTAGGGCATCATCAGCACCAAGTGCGTGTAGCACATATGAAGGCTCCAAAGAAGCTGAGGTACAAGCTGATCCGGAGGACAAAGCGATGTCCTTCAAAGCCATTAGTAAGGACTCACCTTCAACATAGGCAAAAGAAATGTTCAGACAGCCTGGATAGCGTGATGTTTTCGAGCCATTCAGTTGTGTGTGCTCCATAGAAAGAATTCCATTCATCAACTTCTGGGAAAGACGAGAGATGTATTTTGTGTCGTATTCATATTCTTGAATAGCTAGCCGCGCTGCCTCCCCAAACCCTGCTACTAATGGAGTGGCAAGAGTACCAGATCTGAGACCTCTCTCCTGTCCACCGCCGCTAATAATGGGATCCAATCGTACCCTTGGCCTTCTCCTTACGTAGCAAGCACCCATACCTTTTGGACCGTAGATCTTATGTGACGAAATGGACATCAAGTCGATATTAAGTTTGTTGACGTCCATAGGTATCTTACCGAATGCCTGAGCGGCATCGGTATGGAAAAAGACTTTGTGTTGTCGACAAATGCGACCAATTTCCTCCAGTGGTTGAATAACACCAATCTCATTGTTCACGGCCATGACACTTACTAAGCAGGTATCCTTGCGAATGGACTTCTCCAGCTGTTCAAGATTAACAAGACCATCCTCATTGACCGGAAGATAGGTGATCTCAAAGCCGTCATCTTGTAACCTACGAGCAGATTCAAGTAAACACTTGTGCTCAGTTTGGGTGGTGATAATGTGCTTCTTGGTCTTCTTGTAAAATCTGGCAACTCCCTTTACCGACATGTTATTGGATTCTGTGGCACCACTGGTAAAAACAATCTCCTTTGGATCGGCACCAATAACATCTGCAATGTGCTTTCTTGCTTTCTCTATCTCTTTCTCTGTTTCCCAACCATAGCTGTGGGTACTGGAATGAGGATTTCCGTACAATCCAGTATAAAACTCCAACATCTTGTCCAAAACACGAGGATCAGTTGGAGTAGTGGCTTGCATATCTAAATAGATAGGCCTTGTTCCATACAATGAGTCATCCCTTTTGATGTTGGTCAATGAAACAGCAGAACCCTTAGGTGGCACGGAATCATTTAGTGACGCATTACTAACCGAAGTAGGCGTTGGAGCTCTGGCAGATGATGCGCCGGAGATATTCCTCACGGCTTT